TAACTCTATTCTGTATAAAAAACTTTTATTATAAACTGCATTGAGGACTTTTTTTAAAGTCAGTGATGTGAAACTATTTTAAAGAAATAAATAAAACATGAGGAGGCAGGATCTATTTTTTTCTCCCAAGCTCATTGTATCACCACAATAAGATGGGGTCTTGTAGACCCCAGTCTTACTCTATAAATAACAAATAAACATAGCATAAGTGGCACTTCTCTTGCTTTTCTCTTTCCATTGAAGTATACAGTCATTTTCTCTCTTTGATAAGTATAGAAATTATATTCCTTAGTACAGATACCATTCCTGACCAGCCAGGCTGTTCCAGAAAATAAGAAATTATATTCATTTATAATAGTAACAGTTAAACATACTGCTATTCCAATGATATATACTCAAATCCTTGCTCAGCTTTGAATTTTAAAACACCATTAAAATACTTAAATGGAGTCTCAACACAGAAATAATAATTATGAAGAAGACTGCAAGATTCACCTATTTTCAACTCAATCTGCTTTCAATACAATGCAATCGTATATGCTTTGGTCAATGCTTTAATTCCAAACAGTAAAAAAGACAATTCTCTCAATTAGTAATAAAGAACTTACAACTCTAAATTTTGCTGAAAAAATACCTCAGAAATACCAGCCAGCCAACTAGGGCCCATTGTGAAATATGCTTAGATATGCTTAAAAATATATGCTTAAAGGAACATTAGAAGATTGTGGCATGTGTTCCTCATATAAGATGAATATGGATAAAGAGTTTTTCAGATATTCCCTTATGTTTTTCAGTACCCTTCAACTATCTAATCATTCCTGCTCAGAGTTTACTAATAGATTGATTTTTGCAAATGACCTAAACACCTGTCTCATAGTGATTGCATTGATAATATATTAGCCTGAATATCTGACTCATCATATGATACTAATGAATCTCTAATTCTCTAATGCTTATCAGTTTTTAAAACATAGTTCTTCCAGTTTTCTACCCTTATAGTATTAAGCAAATTCTTAAGGTGTATTTATTTACAAGGTCATTTTTGCTGTGGTATATCAGATGTTACTTTAAAAATCTATTACTGTTATAGAAATCAGATATCAAGGGTATATTCATCAGTATACCACAGTAGAACACATTCAATAGACTTCATGTTCTAACCAACTAACAGATCAAAATAACAGAGTTGGAAGGGACCTTGGAGATCTTCTAGTCCAACCCCTGCTCAACAGGAAATGCTATACCATCTCGGACAAATGGTTGTCCAATCTCTTCTTAAAAACCTCCAGTATTGGAGCATTCACAATTTCTGGAGGCAAGTTGTTCCATTGGTTGATTGCTCTCACTGCCAGGAAATTTCTCCTTAGTTCTAGGTTGCTTCTCTCCTTGATTAGTTTCCATCCATTACTTCTTGTTTTGCCTTCTGGTGCTTTGGAGAATAGGTTGACACTCCCCCCCCTTCTTTGTGGTAGTCCCTTAAAATACATCTCATCTCACTACATTTACAGAATGACTCCAGTGCCCTTTATTCTCAGCCTAGCTAGCCTTGAAACTTAAGTTATATCCTGCTGTAAATGATAATGATTAAGGCTAGAAACTGGGAAACCATGTTCAAGTCCCACCATAGACCCAAAGGTCAACAAGTTGCACTATAGGCCCAAAGCCAACTGGTTGACCTTTGAGCCAATCCCTCTCTCTCAGCCCTAGGAAGCAGGCAAAGGCAAACCACTTCCCAAAAAAACCTTGCCAAGAGAACAGCAGGGATTAGTCCAGGCATCTTGTCTGGTGTCAACCCTGACTCGAAGGCACAAAAAAAAAAAAAAAAAAGATAATGGAGGGGTAGGAAGCTTCTATCCTTCAAGTACTGCTGAGTTATAATTGTTAGGATCTCTCAACGTTAGACTTTCTGGCAGCAGCATTTGAGAAGTCACGATTTCCTACCCCATAGGAAAGGACAATGCCTATAGACAGACAGTGAATGTACAGGAATTTTGTATCCTGTGATTTGTTTGCTCTAATGTCTAAGACATATTGGCTCAGAAAGGCTCATAAAGTTATCTTAAACAAGTATGAATGGCAAAATGGTATAAAGCATTTTTAAGAATGCTGCTTTTGCAATCTGAGGCACCAATAAGGCTAACACATGTGGCTCATAGGGAAGAAAGTCTGTGCTAACAATGTTTTCAGCATGGTAAATAAATTGCTCTCATTGCCACTTAATTTTATGAGTACATATCATTCTTGTTCAACATAGTGCTGCTATCCAGCATTCTTTAACTGAATACTATACCAAATGTTCTGAATTTTGTCAAAACTAATTGAAGTGCTATAGAAAACTGCATGAAAAGTTATTCTGAATTGTTTCCCACTTGAAAACCAGTTCCTCCTTGGTGGCAGTCTCTGCATTCCCCTGATTGCAAGCTTCCCTAAAAATTGGACCTACAGAGGTCTGTAGCTGAAGGGAGCACACTTAAAAGTGACTAAGGAATGAAGGCGAACGTGTGAATGATTATTCTTGGAGGAAAGTTTGCTTGATTTGCAGGCATCAGATATATGTATGTGAGCCTAGACTTAGAGAGATTTGCTTGCACAATAGAGTTTCAGTGCCTCTTGTCTCGTGTTTGGATATAAGGGCTATGTACCACAGAGATTATTCCCTGAAGTCAAAGCAAGCAAAGAAGGCAGAAAAGCTGCAGATTCATAATGCAGAGCTGTAATTAGTCAGCATTTGCTCTTCGTTTCAGGCTCCAGTACACCTTTTTCCCCTGAAGGATACTGCATTTGAGAGTGCAAGATTTCACTTGTTTAAAAAGAATGTTCTTGCTATATTGCACGAAGCATAAACTGGCACATACATCACATTAACAAACATTGTATTTTGTTAGATATTGGCTTAGTGTGTTGCAGAAACCAGATTATCTGGCTTACCGTGTTTGACAATTTAACCCCTGTGTAAACTGTATACAAATAAACCACACTTTTCTCTATTTGTATTAGCCAGTATTTATTCCCAAATACGAAGTTATTATTTACTGGCTGAGCATGCAGGGTTGTGTTAGGCTTGCTGTCATTGAACTAGAAGAGAATTAAAAGGGCCTCTATGCTGGGATTGCTGTGCCCACTAAGCAAGCTAAAGTCTTGAGGGAGTGGTCATTTTGAGATTTATCCTGGGGAGGAGTGTGTGTGTGTGTGTGTGTGTGTGTATCCTGCTCCCCGGGATAAAACTCAAAATGACTCCTTGGCCAAGACTTATATCTCGTCCATCAGGCAGCAAAGAAAATGCCCCTATAATCCCTGTGCAATTGTGCAACTCCTAACAGAAATTAGCAGACCACTTAGTCTTCTTTCCATTCCCACTATCTGCCATTTCTTAAATTCACCTTTATGCTTTACAGAGAGAACTTTCAAAAAAAGCAACAGTAACAGCAGCAGCCCTGTTAGGGGAGCCTGAAACTAACAGGTACCTGTCAATGTCAGTTCCAACCACCGCAACTCCTGAAATATACCTCAGTAGCTTCAGGGTCCCCCCATAGGATCAATACTGCACAAGTACTTCCACGCTCAGCCCACTTGCAAGCAAACCAGCCAAAGTAAGGGTGGCAAGAAAGAAAGATTGCCTTGCACATAGGCCTGTCACTCCCCAGTCATTCTTGCTTGTTTTCTCAAAGCTCTAGGAAACATTTACTTTTAACTTGTTTTTTTTTTCCCACAAAGGAAAAAAATGTAATTCAATGTGAGGTTATAATAAAACGGGAGAAGTACAAAGGGCCGTGGATTTTGGCAGACCCGGAAAGAGAACAAGGAGGGGGGGGCTGATGAGGAGGGAGGCAGGCAGCTGGATATTGCAAACGCTCTGCTGGCTGGGCAAACTTCTGAGTGTTTGCAGCTGGAGAAAGGAACTCACAAAAGGGATTATGCCTTAACTTGGCAGGGGGAGAGAAAGGAGCCACCCTCTCCAGCGGGGAGAAATGCCGTTTCCCCTTTCTGTTTGCAAGGGAGCGCATGACTGGCAGAGGCCTTTCAGAATCATGACACCTTTCGGCAACTGTGCTCTGGAGCAGAACCTCTCCATGACCTTTCTTAGGTTTATTTGGTTTGGGCAAAAAGTACTTTTCGCACAACATTAATCTACGCACAGATCACTCACCCCCCCACCCCCCCACTCTACTTCCACAGACACACACACACACGCTTTAAGCTCCAAACCCACAGAACAGTAGGGTGACCAAGCTCTCAACAGGGATGAGTTTGCACAATGCATGTTTCCCGTTGCCAGAGCTGGAGGCAGCCGCTTTCTGCACAGAGGCTTCTCTCTTCAAGTGCATCTTCTCTGCTGGGCGAAGAACTTTGCACAACTTTAGGGGGAAAGCATTAGGTTTCTGCAGTCAGTTTGGCGGGGCGGGGGGGGGAAGGGGGAGGAAAGCCCGGACGAACATGTTGAGGAGCAAGAGGCCTTTCATTCAACTCAACCTTTCCCGATCTGAGACCCCCCCCCCTCCTGGCATTTTGCTCTCTAGCGCGCAGGGGAAGAGGGGGGTCGGGTTAAGCATTAAACTAACCTGATCGCGAAATCGGCCCTTAAGAGATACTCAAAAGGAAACCCGGCCCAGGCGGGGATGGAGAGGACTTAGTGCGGATGCCTTCTTCACACCTGGGTCAGCTCTCTCTCTCTCCCCCCCCCACCCACCCTCCGGCCAAAACCCAGCCATCTGCAGCAAAGGAGCCCACCCATTCCCTTTGATTTGGAGGTCCCTGGCGACGCCAGCGCTGCTGCTTGCTGCTGCTGCTGCTGCTGCTCTGGGAGCAGTTTCTGCCGAGCTGCAATAAACAATAAAGCCCAAGACTCGCAGAGGCGAAGCGGCTGGCTGGCCGGCTGGCTGGCTGGCTCTCCTCCTCCTCCTCCTCCTCCCTCCCCCAAGCCCTCGGCCGCGAAAGTTGCGCTTGGCCGCTGCAGGCAAGCCCGGCTCCTGCCTCCTTAACAAAGAAGCCCCGGGGCTTACTTTCTTGAGCCATGCTGATGACAGTCTCGGTGGTGGCGTGGTACTCGTCCTCCTCCAGGTAGTCGTCGTGCTGGAAGGAGTCCCCCTGGAAGTCGTGCAAGTCCAGGATCTGCTGCAGCGGCGGGGCTTTGGGCAGCAGCTGGTTGACCACCTCGCGGGTGATGTTGGGCGCCTCTTTGAGCCGGAGCTTGCTGAGGATCTGCGACTTGATGCTCTCCAGCCTCATCTCTTTGCTGTGCCTGCGCCAAAGGCACACCGGGCAGCTCTGGTCCTCGGCTCCTGTCGCCAGGGGGACGCCCTCCGTGGGCGCCTTCTCGCTCGGCTCGCCCGCGCACAACTCCAGGGACAGGACCAGGAAGCCCCAGAAGACGGTCGACTTGGGCACCGGCATGTCTCTGGCGCTTCTCCGCTCGCTCCCCAGCCAAGCCAAGCCCGCTCCTTTCTCGCGCGGAGCACAATCGCTCTGGCTCGGCCTCGGGATGATGATGGGCTGCAGCTGCTGGGTGCTCGGGGGGTGGTGCCGCCGCCGCCGCCGCCGCCGCTAAGTTCTTGGGGGTTGGAGATGGGGGGGGCCGACTTGCTGGTTGGGGGAAGGAGAGGAGGGGNCTCTCCTTTTATATCCCAACTGAACTGTGTCGTAAAAAGCCTTGATTGGCTGCGGAGGCAACAAAAGAGCTCTCGGCAAAAGGGCTGTCACCGGCAGGGGAAAGCGAGCGGACTTCTCCGCGCTCTCCTCGGGTCAGGGCGAAGCATTCCGACCGCGCTCGCCTCGCCTGGTGTCAAACCTTTTAAAGGCTGGCAGCGCTCTTTGAAGCGAGGAGGGGAGGGGGCGCCCAGATGGGGGGGGGAGGGAGGGAGGGAGGGAGGGAGCGTGTGGAGGAGGCATCTGACAGCCCCTTAAAGAAACAAAGTCCCCTTTTTTCCTTCCCCCCGCGCGCTACCTTCCCGCGGCAGGCGGAGCGGGGTGGCTTTCGGCCCCGGGCTCCGAGGGGAGGAGGCGCTCGTAACAATACGCGGGGAGGGGCGGCTCGGGCACTCGGGGTGGCCGGCCGGGCGAGCGACGAGGGCGAGGGAGAACCGTTGGCTGTTACCCTCGACCTCGTTCCGCCTCGGGTGCCGGCCCACCTGGCGCTCCCCGAGCCCCCTGCGGGCTTCCGCGCTTCTCAGGCGGCAAGCGCCGCTTTGCCTCAGCGCGGAGTTTACCTCAGCGTCCCTCCCCTTCTCTCTCCTCGCTGGGCCATTTGACAGTTTCTAAGTGCCCGTGCCGTCTAACTCCCCGATCGATTCGACCGTTTCTAGCTCTCTCTCTCTCCTTTTCTCTCCGGGTCCTGGTGGCTTTGACAGTCCTCCCCGCTCCCGCCCGGCGAGGCACGCGCGCCGCTGCGGAGACCTCGCCCGCCCGCCTGCCTGTCGCCCGAAGCTGGCCTGGAGGGCGGGCTGCTGTCACCCTCCACTGCCCTCGGGCGCTAGGCGCCGGGGCTGCCCCGCGCTTCGCTGCGTGCGCGGTCTCCCGCGGCCGCCCCTCTCCCCTGCCCGGCCCCCGAGCGGCTGGGGCGGGTGCCCGGCGTAGCTCCGACCGGGAGCCCAGCCACGTGCGGCCGTGTTGTTTTGGCCGTCGGAGAGCAGAGGGGCGGCCGACTCGCGAGGGCTGAGCCGGAGGAGGCGCGCAGGCCAAGCGCAGCACCTTCCGCGCCGGCGCCCGCGGGACTCCCGGCGGGCTCGGGAAAGCCGAGCTTGCTTGCTTGCTTGCTTGCTCTCGCCCTCTCTCCGCCGGCCCCGGAGCGGAAGGGGGGCGAGGGAGCGGGCCAGGTGAGGCGCCAATGGAGCGGCGGGGCCGAACAGGAGCAGCCGGAGCCGGAAGAAAGGAGGTCCTGGGGCTGCGAGGCTCTGCCGAGCAAAGCGCCGTTTCACCTGCCAGCAGAGCTTCAATTTCACTTACGCTAAAGTTCAGCCGAGGCAACCGTAGTGTGCATGAAGCCCCGTCAAACATGATCTCCTCCTGCCTTGCCCAAGGGGCACCTCTGCTTTGGTGGGTCCTGTAAAACCCCCACCAAATATTCGAGTGTGATCCTCGGAAGGAGTGGGCTGATTAGTAATTTCTATGCTCCACAAATAGTAGAAGTGTAAATTAGCCTGCTCTTCCCCCCCCCCCCCAGGTAAAAGGAAGGAGCATAGAACATCTTAATTTCCTGAAATAGCCAACCTAAGTTTGGGAGGGGTAAACCTCCCTCCCCCCCAGCCTCCCAAATCCTTTGGACCAGAACCCTTTGAAGTCCCAGCCGGTGTGGACAGTGACCTGGAATTACATGTAGGTGATCTATCACTCTAAAGAGCACCAAGCTGCCTATCTTAGTGCCCATCAGGATGACTATAAACCTGGGAAAAGGAGCATTGTAAGAAAAATGCACATTTGAAACAGTATTTGTCTTCAGCCATTCTGTGTATGGATGTTATAGGATTATATGACCTTAGAGTACGTGTTCCTTATTACTTGTTTAATTTAAGTGATCTAAGCAGATTTCTCTTTAGAGAGGGATCTTACAGAAGAACACTCCTTTGTGCTGCTACCTAAAAGTTCACATCAGTCCCTGGCCTGGAATCTCCAGGTAGGGCTAGAAAAAAAAAACTCATGATCTGAAACGCTGGCACACTGCTCCCTCTTTCTGCCACCCCCAGCCTGGCATTTCCATCCATTGGGTCCTTCACCTCTTAACATTCCTGAGCAGCAAAAGCACATACACTAAAAGGTCATCCTGAGAAAAGAAGGTCTCATTTATCACATAGAGTTGCTTAGTAAGAAGACTGGCCCTTTCTCCAAACAATAAGTGGGGATGGGGTGTGTGTGTGCAAGGGTAGACACCTTCATGAAGAAAATATGTACAGTTATGTACCCAGTAAAGTAGCCTGACAGAAAGAACTTCTTTCTCCTGCTAATCATCATCATCTTCAGGTCAAAGGATCCATGACTACAAGCATGTGCGAACTGAAGCTGGTTTTACTTCTGTATTTCTTCATGCCTAGTCTTGGCTAAGCCTATCAACTGAGTGGGCTTTATCATCAAGCATAAGGCTCAATATTTCTTTTTTACATAGAAAACTAAGACATGTAGAGACAACAAACATAGATAAGCCATTATTTAGACACACAGAAAATACGCATTGTGTTAAAAAAAAAATGTTCCAGTCCATCAGTGAAATTTTGCTGGAAAGAAATGTAGAAATGTTCCACTGCAGTGAACAGAGAGAAAGTTTCTACATATGAAAACAATATTATTAAAGTGATTCCTTTAAACAAGCCACCAGTATTTTCCCCTCTTACCCTCATGGGTACTAAGAACTGATGAGTGTTGTTAATGTGTGTTCATATTGCTCAGACATAGGTCAGCTTTGAGAGTTTCATGCTAATTTCAATTTGCCATTCTTGGCTTTTAAGCTTCTGTTATGATCACTCAGACTGACTAATTCTAATCAGTACTTGCAAAAACTATCAAAGATCCTGGAGCATTGGGGAACTACCAGAGGACTGAAAAAGAGCTGATGTGGTTCTAATCTTCAAAAAAGGAAAACATAATGGATCCAAGAAACTATAGACCAATCAGCCTGGCACCAATAACTGGGAAGATCCTGGAAAAGATTATCAAGCAACAGATCTGCAAACACCTAGAAGCAAGCAAAGTTATAATCAGAAGCCAACATGGGTTTGTCAAAAATAGATCATGCCAAACAAATCTTACTTCATTCTTTGACAAAGTGACTAAATTAGTGGACCAACGAAATGCTGTGGACATTGTATATTGGACTTGGTAAGGCATTTGTAAAGTAGATCACAGCCTACTTCTTAGTAATATAAAAAATGTAGGATAGATAGCATCAACTCAGATGGATTCGAAACTGGCTGATAACCACACTCAATGTTAGTCCTCAATGGAACTGCATCTACACGGAGGGAAGCATGCAGTGGGTATCCCAGTACTCTTTAACATCTTCATAAATGATTTAGCTGAGGGGATAGAAGGGAAACTCATCAAATTTGCAAAGGACACCAAGCTTTGGGGAATACCCAACACTCCAGAAGATAGGCTCAAGATCCAGAGGGATCTTGACAAACTTGAATACTGGGCCCTAGCCAATAAAATGCAATTCACTGTTGAGAAAAATAAGGGTTTACACTTAGGCAAGAAAAACCAAATGCACAGATATAGAATAGGTGATGCCTGGCTCAACAGCAATAACTGTGAGACAGATCTAGGAGTGCTAATTGTTGTGTTCTTTGTATTCCCCCCCC